CCCCCGCGCTTTTTTTCGTCCCCGGCTGTGTCTCTCACTCTCCCTGTTTGGCAAGGGTGGTGAAGGGGATCCTGACGGACATTTTCAACCCCCCTAGGGGACACCCCAAGAGCAAGCCGTTCATCGACAGGGTCATGGTGAGAGCTAAAGCAGTGCACCCACCAGGTGTTTTGCGGTGCACCAGGCACGCACTCCCGTCACGTCCATGCGCGGGCCAATTTTTTTCCGTTACTAATGTTGTGACTGTTTTGCCGGTCTTTTCTGGGTGTCGGAGGAAAATAAATACCGTCAGCTATCTCGCTCCCCCCCCCTCGGGCATCGCTAGCGGGTGGATTGCTGCCGTTTCGTACCCAAGGCATACCAGGTAACGTGAACCTTCTCGGCGTAGAGGATGACAAGTCATCTCTCCTCGAACCTTTGCACACAAAGGACAGGATCATGATCTAGATTATGTATGTGTAAATATCAAGCGTTGGAAGCATGATAGATGATCTGTGATGATCTGTGGAGGTATGAATCAAGCGCCGGTACGTGTCACAGATGATCTATGAATTATTAATCAAGAGCAGCAGACATGTTCCGATCTATCCATGTCTATAAACCAAGGACAGATCGATCTGTAGCTATAGATTTTGGTGACGACTGATCTAAAGTGATCTGTTTTATCCTATGTGTCCCATGTGTGAACCTTTGCCCTGCCGAGGTTTGGTGGTCGACTACGTGTTGTGGCGGAGAGCGCACGCACACGAACGTTGTGCGCTGGATTGGATTGAAGGTTTACACCTTGCTGTTGTCACTTGAAGGAGAAGACAACCAACAGCCGTTTCGTGGGATGAACTCTCCGTCCCATAGTAGCTTGATTTGACTGATTTGAATCATCGCACTTGGTTCTTTTTGTTCTTTTGTCACTGGTTGTGTCAACCGATTGAGCGACTCTGCTTGGCTTTCTCCCATGGGGCAACAACGGCTTGGCTTGCTCCCATTGGGCAACTGCTTGGCTTGCTCCTATTGGTCGACTGCTTTGCTTGCTCCTTTGGTCAACTGCTTAGTTTGTTCCTTAAACTCCCGCACATGCGCCCCCCCCCCCCCCCCCCCCCCCCCCCCCCCCCCCCCCCCCCCCCCCCCCCCCCCCCCCCCCCCCNAGTCCTTCTTCGTGGCGGATGGCAAGGTCTGGGTCAGAAATTACCAGATTGTGGACAAGGGTGACGGTTCTACCACGGGACTGAACCGCAAGATCGAGGCGGCCACCACCGCCGCAGGCGGCGGGGGGGAGGGGACGGGCGCCGAGGATTCCCTGAGCCTCGTCGAGATGGGACCCCGGTTCGTCCTCAACCCCATCCGGGTATTCGCGGGCAGCTTCGGGGGCCCCACGCTGTACAACAACGCGGCGTACGTGTCGCCCAACGACGTCAGGTCGGCGAGGAAGAGGAAGGCCGGGACCAAGTTCGAGGACCGGCAGGAAGCGAAGAAGGTCGTTCGGGGTAAGAAGGCCGAGCCCGCGGTGCCCCGGGGTCCCCTGGACGACGTGTTCTCAGGGTGAAAGAAAAAACGCTTGTGGTGCTTGGCGGCAGCAGGTGTTTTGGAAGAGGCGTAGGGTCCATGCAGACGCATTTGTCGGGATAACGAAGAAAAGGATGGTCGTGCTAGGTTGGTGTGGTCGGCAGCAGGTGTTTTGGAACAGGCTTAGGGTCCATTCGGACGCAACCAAAGTGTCGGAATTGTTCTCGGGATAAAAAAAAAAAAAGAGGAAAAGGATTGCGGCGCTTGGTGTGGTTGGCGGCAAGTGTTAAGCCTGGGGACGACACACGCACTTGCTTTGCTTTGGAAAGAATAAACCCGACATGGCGCACGGAACGCGTGCGGGGGTAGGGCTGACTGGTTGGCTGTGTGTGCGTCGCGCGTGTGGTTTCAGACCGTCCGGGCGCGTTGTGTCTGGTTTGGGCACCCGTACCCATGCGCCGTCCCTGTTGAGGTGACGATGCACAATATACAAGAGCTTGATGCGGTCGATGGGTTTGGTTCGCCGGACGGAATTGAGGGACTTGGAGGGGGGAAGAGGGCGCCTGTTTGTGGGTGGCTCAGAAGACAATTTGCGTCGACCGTGCTTGGTCCGTTGGAGGGGATCGAACGAGAGGGTTAGAGCCAACCGTGTGTTGAACGAATTCTTTTATCTCATTTTTCATCGTTTCGATGCGGTTCTGTGGGATGGATATTGGCACACGCTGTCTCGAAGCGGAGTTTTGGTTTGGGGGGAGGGGGAGGGGGCAACGCGAAGGGGACAGAACTAGGCTGGGGTGTTTCTGCCACGTGTTCGTCGAGATGGACCAGCATCTCTCGCATTTTGCTCGAAGCGGAGTTTTGGCGGTTTCAACTGCTGTTCATGATACACGGAGGAGTGCTCGGTTGCTTTTGGTGAGGCCAGATCAGTAGAAGTTGTTTCGCCCTCGCTGTCAACTTCTTGCCCTTGAGTTGCTACAGAAGTAGCGTGTTGTCTCATCCTCCAACGCGGAGTTTCTGAACGGAGAGGGTGGCTCCGCGTTCTGAAAGGGGGGGGGGGGGGGG